AGGTGTTTTTGGATGAACTGACCAAATTCCTTCCTTCCTTTGGTATGCACTATGCACCTCACATGCAGTCACTGAACATGCCACTCACAATCCAGGGAGATTCAGTGAACATGCCACTTACAATCCAGGGAGAGTCAGTGAAAGCTGTCGAGCCTTTTACTTATCTTGGAAGTTGTGTTAGTTCTGATTATAGTGTGACAGATGAAGTCAAAGCACGAATCTGCAGTGCTCGTCGCGTTTGCTAATTTGAAACACCTATGGCGTCAGAGTAGTGTATCCCTGAATCTGAAGGAACGTGTGTATCAAGCTGCTGGGCTGGCTGTTTTGTTGTATGGCTATGAGACTTGGCAGCGAAGTGTGACAGCCATTACCAGCAAACCCAATTGAGCTGGTCATTCCTCTCTCCCTGGATGAGGACCCCAAGAGAACGACATCAATGGTTAGAGACATTGTCAGCACGGTCCATTCACGCCCTCGCCTTCGTACACCCAAGCTATTGCATTCAATGGATAGTTCCTTCCTCAATCCCCCCACTTAGAAGTTCACTGATTGACCCGTATTTCCGCACCAATTTATCGGCCGCTGCATGCAGTGCACAGCTACCTACCCACCTTCCAAAAGCTTCGGTGGACGTTCAATGGATAGTTCCTTCCTCAATCCCCCACTTAAAAGTTCACTGATTGACCTGTATTTGCGCACCAATTTATCGGCTGCTGCATCCAGTGCACAGCTACCTACGCGCCTTCTCAAAGCTTCGGTGGACCAAACTGTAACTGTACAACCACTGTACGACAGGTGCGAAGTTCTTACAGCTGATAATGATGATGGTCTAAAATATCTAAAATGTATTTGAGTAAATAATGGAATCTGTACCTTAGTTCGGAAGCCGATTTCCGGATGGACGCATGTATATTTGGTACGGGTATTGGAAATAATGTCTATTTTTTCAGTACCCAGTGTGGTAGCATAGCAACGAACGCTAGCTATTTCCCTCTTATTCGCGTCCCTTATCTGATCGACTACTTGACTTCGCTAGGTGTCGTACTAGGGGGTTCACTGAAATAATCAGGTGACTTGATTACTCCAACATACTCGCGTCCAGCCACATTTAGAAATGCCAAACTTTACATCAAGGAAATGTGTTTGCCCTGGTCACTTGATAGTAAAGTGTGGCAAATTTACAGCCTGACGACTAGAGCTCAGGCCGATCGAATCATTATTAGGTTGAGCGGTTTGGTTTTGTTAGATATGTGACACAGTCCCAACAACAGATATCCGTCAAACTTCTCGAGTTTATCCCAACGCAGTTTATTTTGGTAAAAATATTCCATTGGATGACTCTTGTTCCGTTTGTTTCAGCACAAAATCATGATGCTTCCTAAACTCCTCTGTAACAATTTATTTCACGGATAAACAAAATGCGGACTAACTCCAACCATTCTGCGTTGTTAACCTCATCCTCTTCTCTGATTTGTCGATTCTCCCTCCTCTCTATGTTCTTCTGTCACTAGAAAAGTCTTCCCTATTTCGCCTGAGTTTACTAATGTTGATGTTCCTTTGTCAGATTCGTTCTCTTATTTAATCTCTCTGGATGGTTCTCACGCGCATTCAGTAACAATACCTAGGCCTTTCACTTTACGTTTTTGACCGTACTTGCACTACAAGGAATACAATTGTCTGTTTTCTTAGGCACACGTGGAGTGCTGATCATCTAGTTCTCCATCTGTATGTGACGTTTTTGTGGGATGCAGCAGCTACCTCAAATATCGCTAGATCCTTGATTGGATGGAATCCCAGTGTTTTTATTGGTGTTTCTCTCTTAGCGGGAACTCTTTCATCCGGTCGCATCGTGTACTTATCCTTATGCTGCTTCACTATTCATCATTTTGCTTCAGACTATCGTCTAAATTACTTTGAGACCACTAACTCTGCAAAACTGGTACCCAAAAATTAATCGGTTAAAATACTGGGCTGTTAAATCCGTCAATACTAGACCAAATGATTTGTAGGAATCTTTAAAGATCAATCGTACGTCGCGTTTTGAGTTAGTCGCAAATGTGCACACCGTGCGTTATCTTTTTTTGGAGAAGAATTTCCCGTAGGAACCCTCCGTTGCAGTCCGTGCTAGTAGCCGTCTGTGGGTGAACAACTTTCATGTGCTGTCTAAAAGGACTCCCATATGTCACCCAGGGGTTACCGGGACACCAGTAATGCAGTTCGTGGGAACCTAGTGAGGCTTAATGGCGCGCCAATTTATCTGAAATAGACACCATTACAGATCAGGTGTATAGGTGAGCTATCATTTCGCAGGTGAGGACAGTTCAATATTATGATCTTTCCCATTGTCCTAAAGCCTTTCCTATCCGCAGGACAGATGTTTTACTGAACGTCTTCAGTGAAAGAATGGCGGTTTGTGAAACCGACTGTTCAAGGACCGAATGAAAAACAGCGGGGACCTGAATTTTTGCGGATTCTAGAGCGCATGTAAATACAAATGCCTGTACTTGAAAGTTTTTTTCAGGATTCTCAAACAGCATCGAAGAAGGAGTTACGGAAATAAATGTTCTCGTCTGTCCGTGCTTCGAACTACAATTGTTAATTCGCGAACTAGACTAGTTTTGACTGGTCCACAGTGACTTTTTTGAGGAAGACCACTCCTGACATCAGGCCACGGGCTGCTTTTTGTGGCATTTTATGGTCCATAGGGAAGGAAAACTGATCCATCTCGATTGTTTAACACAGGAGCAGGTGTCTCCACTTTTCAGAAGGATATCCATTGAAGGTTCTATGGACGTAACGCGAACTAAGCATATTTTCGGCCCTCTGGTTTTGTTTGCTACCGTGCACGTAAATTTGGGTTGTAGGGATGGAATGGTGACGCGTTCACCCATTCACTCCACTCTATACTTCGTTCCTTCTGATCTCGTCCAGATTTGACGCTCTCTTATGGTCCTCAGTATTAATCGCACTGAAGTATTTCCTCTCCTTTAAATTAGTACAGCCGTTTTGTACCGGTTTATGCTTAACGGATTTGTTTGAATGTGACCTAGTTGGAAGAAGGAGTGCGACTGGTTACCGCAGGGAACGATTTCTACTACAGTCATGTATGAAGTTCAGCATGTACCGCAAAACATCCGAGGTTTTCCATCGAGATGGGTTTGAATTTGGCTTTTTTTGTCTGTTCGGTTTTTATGAATTCCGCCCTAGGAGAGACCGTTTTTGCCCGTTCTTTTCAGGAGGGTTCAAAATAAAGGTTTACTCGCTCCTCAATAACGGTCATTAATGGAGATGAAACGGAAGTAAAGATGGTTCACTTTCCGGTGCACAGCTGCGCCTAACTCGAAGGAAACACAAAGCTGAGATAATATAATTTTCCGAAGCCTAGACGAAAGCAGTCGAAAGGTCAAGGTTAGTTTCAGGCCTCGGAAACTTTTATTCCACGCCTCGCTAGCTGGACCATCTCGAGCTCAAAGTGAAACTACAAGGATCAGAAATATTTGGGTTCATAAACACCCACAGCCAGAAGTTTCTTGGATGTTTCAACCTACCAAAGTAGTCGGCTAGCTTCCTATGACCCTGGAGATTTTTGGACGAAAGCTCCAGAGTGTGGTCCCATGGTTTTTTTTCGAATGATGACTTGATAGGCAAGGATCAGGTCGCTCGGTAGTTGTAGGCGCCTGGAGAACATTCAGAGACTTTTCACAGATTAGATGTCGAGTATTATTCGTCAGTTTGCCCGCTCGTGTTTGCTACACGTCGACTATTGTTTCGTTGTCCTCTGGCTAGAAATGACGTGCTCCATTCGTCTCTTGACATTTCATGCACAACAGACTCAGCCTGACCGGAAAACCATCAAATCCTAAATATTAACCACGCATTTTGACGCTGTCCTGATTCTCGATATTTTTTAGTTTGTCGTTTGCCTTGTGGAACTTGCGGATTGGCATGAACCAATTTGGAACCAAATAACGAATTCATTCGCGATATCCCAAAGCATGCCGATCTCAGGTTCAGCCTATTTCTGAAGAACAAAACTGTGATGGCGACAACGCTGTCACAGATCCGGATGGTAATTTCATCGTTCGCCAGACCAATAACAGAGGTGCTGGAAGTGAATGCATTATGATTCTAACTGTGAAGCAAGCTTTTCTGTTTCCCATAACACAGACGGCCTATCAATGTTGTGCTCTCACGCTGTAAAGACAGGTTGCAGGGTTTGTACCATTCACATTCGCATCATTTGAATATTTCTCGCGTTCTTGCACAGTTTTGGATGTTTGTATGAGGAAACAGAGATTCTGAAGTTTTCCGTGTGATTCCGCTGGTCAGTGTTGACTGAATAGCGCCTAAACCCACTCAATAAGCTTAACGGTTCTGTGTTAGCCTAGACGTTTTTTCGTTCCATTACTTTGTTACTTTATCACTACTGAGGCTGAAACTTCGGATGGATATATAGCGACAATCATGGGCGTAATTCATGAACGTCTTCTGTCAAGATCACCTACCCGGGTGTGATCGACTTGCATTTCCTCGTTGTTTCTTCCACTCTTCTTGGTTAGTCGAACCATGAAGGATGCTACTTGGTCTTGTGTTCCTGCATGTGACCTGGGGGCCTCACATAATGTGATGTATAGTTTACTCTAGTGGCAAGCATGATGTTACTTCCTCACTGAACTGCCTGCTTCAATTATTGGCTTTTCTCGCGCTGATTTACTACGGGCTGACTGTGACATCTCACAAGGGTGCCATGCTGATTTGTCGTTCGTTGCGTACTATTGGTTCCTCCAGTTATGCCTTACTCGCTTCGTTGTTTTGTACTAATACCCCTGCTGTCCCAACTTTATCTCCTTTCTAAATCACTATGATTACTCACGAATGTATGATTTCCATGCACTGGTGGTGGCAACTGGTGTTCTACTTAGTTTGGGCGCACTTGTCCATTCAAACAGACGGTAAGAAAATAGCACTCACTATCCTCCGCACTCTTTCTCTTCATACAGCCGGGCGTACTGTAATAGGCAGCTCACAAAAGAAATCGAACGGAGGTACGAAAGAGGCTTCCGACAGTACTGCCATCGCAGAAGACCCATTGGACTCAAAAAGTAAGAAGTTTTCCCTGCATACCATCTTTGTTTCGTTTGATCGCTACTGACATACCCGTATGTTTGAACTTTTCTTGTGTCCTGATAAATATGGATAGGAATTAATTGGGATTGTGGTCTTTGGAGCATTTTAGCATTCCCCGTAGAAATTTGGATAGTCACAGTATCCTTAGACATCCGACGCTTTGTAACTCACGCTGAAGTGATCCGAAAACACTAGCTGAACCAAAAAGAATCTGTAGCTTATGTGGGATCGACTGCAAGCAGTGTCTTCAAGTGATTTCTGCGTGTTCCGTTTCTTTGGGCTATTAGCTGGAACGTTTCCATGTCATCGCTCCTCGTCTCGCAAACTTGTCAATCTTGGTAACCACTTCTTGTTGAAGGGCTATTTCCTGCAGACACGGTTATTAAACAGAGTTCTTCGGTTGACAGTGAGTTTGTTGCCCGCGCTCCTCCCATTGAATGATAAAAAATCACTCGATGGTTCATGCTCGTTTTGCATGTTCAACCCCCTGTTCGAATGTTTTTCTTCGAGAATGTGCTATGCACTCATCATCTCAAAGTAGATTTTTGCGTCTTTTTTGTTTCTCTCTATCGTTTTGCTCATTCTGCATTGCTGTTGGCGTTACGAGTAACTGCTTTCGCAGTTACAAATAACCCACCCTCGAGGAACGTAATTTATTTATTCTGGTAAGGGTGTGAATGAAGTGGAGCACAGAATCCTGTCCAACCTGATCATTTTTCTGGTTATGCGCTTACTTACAAATCAACGTGGTATCAACGAGGGGAAGCCAGATCTCTCGGTTCTGATAATTTTCAGTTGAATGTGCTGCATCAAGTGCGCCTTGTTGGGTTGATATCCAAGCTATCAGGGGACGGAATCGGTTGTGAGCTGTTAGCTAGTTTAGGGTCGAATGATGGTTTTTCCGTTTTTTAATCATTTTCATTTATTAAGTCACATTAACGCAATACGATAAATGTGGTGTTGCCACCACATTTTTGTACAGTTCTCGCAGCCTGTCTCAAAACGAGACGTTTAACGTTCCCAAGCCCGTGAATTTGTCCCTGCAATAGCCGGCAATATGTACACTGCCCATTATTACGAATAACCGAATTCTATCAGTCGTCCTCAATATCCAAATACTGAAACTCAGTCCATGCCCCGACGTGAACCTATTGCATTTAATGAGTAGAGATAACTAGCGGTAATATGACGCTCGGCTGTGGCATCCTTTCGGTGTAGGGCGAAGGAAGTAAAAGAGCTAATTTCCAGGTTGTCGAAGTCTAAACAGTAACCCTCGATAAACTAGGGTTGATTTCGAACCCCGGACCGCGTGTTAAGCGCTGAGTTCGGTTATGAAGGACAGTGACTGTGTACACAAATGCACGGCATCACTGTTCCTAACGTCGGTTTTGTCGCCGGCTACATTCGACTGCTTATCCTTCTGTCAGGGCCGTCAATAAATACGAATGCACGATTGCTGTCCGAGCAATCAGAGTCTCATATAAGTGCTGTTATTCCCGGCTGCATGCTCAGAGTTAATTCATTTTGAGTTTGCTTTCCGTAAAAGAGTTGGGGATGTCGTTTTCGGTGCAAGTTTTCTCTATATTTGGTCCAAGTAAGCTAGATCGGTCATTCCAGCAAGCCATTTTTGTTGAGATGTTTTTAGACCACTTGCATCCACCTATCACAAACGCACGTTCGTTCAATTGGGAAGAAAATAGTTTGCCACTGCTACATAGTTGCATTCAAGGGTATGGATTACGGTGGCAAGTTCATTATATGTGTGTCCTTCCCTTAGGGCTGGACAAACAGCAAGTGCACTTTCGTTTCGTTCGCTTTACCATGCTGATCGATTTTTGCACGTTTTAGTTTGTTAGTGCGGTGTCAGGTGACGTGTTCGGTTGTCAAAGGATCACGTTCAGTCATGAGCTTTACGAAAACTAGATTGGTTTATCCACTCCTGGTTAGTGGAAATGTTGGCAAGAATATCTGTCGTGAACTTAATCAATAGGCTTTCATCGTGTCAAGAGAACTATATGGACGATCACAAGTGGTTCTACATGATTGGAAGATCGTTTCTTGCTTGCATCATTGTACTACTAGAATTGTTGTTGTGTATAGGGAGCGGCCGTTGTCAGCTAAGTTGTGTTTACTGATTGGGCCTGACATGTTTCGTTGCCAGATTACGAATCGTCCGTCTCTCGGTTATCTCCACTCAACACAAGGCTGCGATACCTTGTCTTCCAATATGAGAGTTACGTGTCCTAGCCACTGTAACATACGTGTCGTGATAAGCCCGTTCAACATGGCTAGTTCCTTCTACTTAACTCCATCTGGCGTAACAGCATTGCAAGTCTGATGTTCCCACCAGAGCCGGGGAACGCTTCGGAAACACCGATTGTTTTCGTATGCCTTCTCCTTGGAGAGCTCATGTTCTTGGATCGCACTGTATCAGAATGTGCTCTGCCATTGATATGGCTACGGAGATGACTTGTAAGGAAAAGCGAATAGATCTGCAAGACCTCACACTGGCGTTATCGGAACCAAGTTGTATCATCTAAAAGGGGTGGCAGTCTTTTATTGAAGGTCTCTACCGGTAGCTGATCTCAGCGAGTCCCGTTACAGGTCTGGGGTTAGTGACATCCAAGTGACTGGACGCGGGTGCTTATAATGAAATTTTGTACTGGCTATGAGCAGACAATGTACAGTGAACATCGACTCCGAATCTGTCACCTAGCTGTATTCCTGCCTGGCTTAGCTGTCTAATTTGGACGTTCTTATCACGCTGCCTGATGATAATATCTCTCTTACTGACCGAAGTCATCATGTTCCGTCTTTCTCGGCTTCAAAACTGCAGTTGAGCCTCCCTACCAACGAACATCAGTTAGCGTATCGAGTTGCATTGAGTTGAGTTGAATCAGGGAACTTTACTGCACAAAATGACTGCCTATTGAAATCCAGTCCTGGGATTCGGTGCAACTCTCATCCTGTATGTGCTAGGGCTGTGTATCATCATTACCTGGTAACCAGAGGACTATTCGAACACATTCAAATTGATTTGCATCACCGAACCGGGGTCTTGTTTGTATATTTTGAGAACATAGTGTGTGCATCTAAGACGGAAAGTAAAGTTGCAGCAAAGGTGTCTGTTGACCGAGGTTTGACGGATGGTGCGGATATTATAAGCTGCACCGTAATCCAGATTTTCTTTGTTTTCAAAGGATTTCTCGGTTTGTTTTGCTAGCCCGTAGTCTCGACAGAACAATGGTTAGGTGATTGGTAGCTAAATAGGACATTTGACAAGCTGAAAAACGGGAACACGTTCGAGGGTCCGTGAACGAAGAACGATGAAGGTGAATTTAACTTCCTGGTTGTTTGAGCTACTCTGGCTTGACTCAAAAACTTGACCACCAACGATAGGGTTTCTTCGGACAACCGACCTGGTTGCACGAGTCTTGTTCGAGGGCAGAGGGACGAAGTCACACATGTTGATATCCTGGCGTTGCTGCACACAACAGACGTCTTTTGGGCCGCATGGGGCTCTTGGTAGGTTTGGTCGTCTAAGATAACTCCTCGGCGGTCACGGTTAGCCTTTGGTGGGTCGGAGTATGTGGTTTTTAGGGCCGACTTTTTCTATCCAACTCCCTCCCAGGGTGGGGCGGCCCGGACCTGTAATCTCACACAGAGTAATTGAACACTTCATCTGCGGATGCTTAATCAGCAATATGATTTGATTCCACTGACATTGTGCCACTCATCTTGCGGTTCAGCTCAGCGGACTTACTGTTTGCTGGCCTCTCAGAGGAGAAAGACTCACCTGACATGATGTCAGCTGATCGAGATTGTGCTACTCTGCCACGCGTTTCGCGTTCTATTCTTCTTCAAGTTTCAGTTGATTTGTGCTGATACCCCATCCTAACTACAATCAAGCAACTATACAGTGTTTCTTGATTACTCAGCTTCAGGTTGGTTCAGACTATCCTCACGCCATGCAGTATGTGGAAGATGCGGTTGCGCAACGACTCTTGTCATCGAGGTTCGAATTCGACTGGTTCGCCAGCTTGTGACGTGGTTGATTTTCTTCGGCCCTTTCACAAAACTTGAAAGTAGTTTAGTTTATTCTCTACTATCCAGTCCATCACCTTCGAATTCTCATTTTTGCACGATATGTTAGTTCGATCTCGAATCTGGCCCCATAAACTGGCATGTGACTGCTATTTTATACGAACGTATCAACAAGTCACGTGTTGAATGTTGTATAAATGCGATATCAAAGGTTCTCGTGAGCCCATCCCTTACCCCGACACCTGGCTGGTCGAGTTTGAAGGAGACCTTCTAATCCCCCATGATTTCCACTCGGTTGGTGGTGTGAGCTTGATGGCCTTTCCATTACAGCACACAAACCCCATTTCATAAGAGCGAACTGGTTCAACTGAACATTTTCAGTGATCCGTGCTCAACACACGACTGAAGTACTTCGACTCCAACAGCGTTTGCCCTTCGAGGGTCTTCGGTGTGTACATTTGATCCAAAGGATCTTGCGCAGAGACCACTAGTGAAATCGGTAAAGAACCCGTCTTCTCTATCGTATCTAGGTCTCACTAACTTACAGACAACAGAGCCACTTAATGTCTGGGCGCAATTGATGATTGTTCTAAACACATTTCTCAAGACGGCCGAACGCCATAATTGCCTTTGCAATTCGCACATTCATTTCACTTTCAGGTTTCAAGTTTGTGGACAGTATGTTGCATACAGCACGCTGTCACAAGCTATACTCATACGGCAAACTTCAGATTGAAACCTGCTAGTTGGTGCATATGAACAGTGTGTGGCACAGTGTGATTAAACGCAACACAAACGACCCCCCTCCTCTGAATCCGAACTGTGCCCACTACCATTACAACACAACAGTTCTCTCTGTTAGTCGATGCTTTCCGGAACTTGTTACTTTTTACGCGTTATGTGTTCTATACGATTTGTCTATTCAGCCGCACCCCATGTACCTGGAAACATCGATGCTGCCCTGATTGCGCTTGAAAGTAAGCCCCCATCCGGTGGTGGAACATTTTCCACTGATCTATTTAATCCAGTGGGGTGTGGACCAACCTACTTCGTTTGTCTGTTTCATAACGCGCCTATTTTAAGCTGCACATATCGAAGGACCAAGCCAATCGGTGAATGAACACATTGTTTTTAACCCTTATAATTCGGTCCACAATTTTTGCTGAGTTTCCAAGCTCTATGGGAATTGTGTAATAGTAGTTTGCTTTCGGTTGGCTCCTCACTTGCTTTGGTGTGCTACATATGGTGAGCTCTCCCTAATAGCATGCCCCCTGCCCAATTGAAGGCGGCTAAATTTAGTAGATAGACGCATTGTTTATCTCGGTGTGGTGGTGCTTTCATGAGCAATGTGTCAAATCATTCGCCAATCCTCTCTCAATGTTCCACATTTTAGGTAAAAAACAAGATATCATTCGCGTAACGGAACAACTTTTGGCTGCAGCGGCGGCGGGCGACTTTGAGTGTTACGCGTAAGTTCACTCGTTCACTTTGCTTGCACGTACACTCTTATCTGTGCATGTATATAGTGTGTCTACTGTCTTACTGTCGTTTATTTCAAGTTCGTGTGTTTCTCAGTAGGGCACGAAATCGGCGTCATGACGAATCGGTGTAAGTTTTCTGCCCACTATGGGAGCGAGATGGCTCAGTGGTCAACGTGTCAGTATCCCAGCCTTCGTGCTTCTTTCTGGTGGCATGGCAGTTAGGCACCGACAGGGTGCTACAGCTGAACGTTTTTATTAGTCCTTCTGTGGTAGCTAAGGTTCAGTTCCCAACCACCAGTGTGTTGCCGCAGATACTGATGTTGATGACTTGAGTAGAAAGACTTCAAAGTATAGATGCCATCCAACCTGAGGTAGGCACAAGGATCGAAATTCTGTTTAGCTGCTTAATCCTGTGCGGAAACAATAGAGCTGTGAGGCGATATCCCGGACCATAAGCCGGTGATCTGTGCGCTGTCTCTAGTTATTTTGCTTGACTCCGATCTCCTGGGAGACGTCCAGGCTTCAGTGATGCATCGTTTACCTTGCATTCAGCTGTAGCATCCTGACTAACCATGTTAACCTTGAAAGCGTAATCTCTTCTGATGGGTATATTTTATATATTTACTGAGAAGAACAAATTGTCCATAAAGAGTCCAGCTTGGGTTCTTCAAGGCGCAAAGTTTTTTTCTTCTAGGATACCCGCCCGTACAACGGCACTTTCGAGTAATGATGGCCTTGGGACCACTTTTGGTCGGAACAACTGTGGTTTTTATAGGTGGTCGTTTATTCGAAGCTGACCACTGAACTAACCAATAAACAGTTCATGACATCTCGTAAGACGAATCCACATGAAAACAGTTTGGCATACGTTTTTGAAGTATAAGTAGAGAGCGTGTATGATCGGTTTAACCGTTGCGGTTTTCCAGCCTTTCAGATAAATACACGGGGCGGTTTGCTGTTTCAGCTTCTTTTGTTGTCCACTTACGATAGGTTTTAGTTGAGCACCTGTCTTGTCTTTCTCAAGAGACACCTGATTTACGGACACTTTTGACATTCCTAACTTGTGTTTCATTAAGAGGGTAAATGTACTGCAATCAGTCTCTAAATTCATCCATTCATTTATCCTACTTAACTAGGACATTTGTTGACTTCCATAGGCATTATGGGAAGCCCTGTTCTCAGTTTGCTCAGGACTCTCAACAAGGGTGAAAGACGGGACATTTCTCCTTTTTTCAACATGGTTTAAGTTCCCTTTCAGCATGAAAAAGTCGTTCACCTGTAGCACCCTTCCGGTGCCTAACTGCCATGCCACCCGAAGGTTGCACGAGGGATAGGATACTGCCAGGTTGCCCAAGCCTAGACAGGGGAAGTCGAGAGGCAGAGGGCGGATTCGAACCACGGACCTTCCGATCAGTAATTTCAGACAGAGATCTGATCGGAAGGTCCGTACCTTCCGATCAGTAATTTCGCGCTCTAACCACTTCGGCCGTCTCGCCCCCTTTCAGCGTGAACTATTGGTGGAAACAGCACTTTGTTGAAGGACACGATGATCGATATGTTTCTCATTTATACTAGGAAATATCTGGACCCGCAGTTCACCTACTTCGGCCCAGAAGCCCGTGGCAATCTCCTCGAGGGCGTAGATTTTCACAAATTCTACTTTGAACAAAGTGAGTCGAACCCCTGTCATCGTTTGTTTGGTGAAGTTATTTAGCGCTCACTCTTTTGTGCCAGCCACAGCGAAGGGTTTTGAGGGATTTCTTCGTACACTGTGGTGGATCTATTCATTCCTTTGGATGGCTTTAACTTGGTTCAGTTCCTCTGACCTCGGTGAAGTTCCAACTGTCCTTCAAGTTGTACACTGCTGCTGTAGCTCAACGCCAATCGATTGGTCTTGGATGATCATTCCCTATATTTGTGCGGAATGAACTACGCTAGTTTTGCGAAGATCAAATCGCTCTTCAAGTATGCAGGACAGGACACACTATTTTATCGTGTGGTTGTGACAAGGCTTCAGTACGAAGAATGGTACAATATCCTTGGCAGTCAAAGAGGAACCTCATATTGTGAGCCATTCTGACCCCTGACAATTTCCTTGATGAGAGGCTTATGAGGACCAGTCGTGCGAATCAAGTGGTACAGTTTGCGGATGTTTCCAACATTTTTTGCATCTTTCATTTCTTCGACCTTTCAGTTCCAGAAAGCTTCTCAGTCTGCACGGACACTCAGTTTCACTTGGCATCCGATGGTGCGTTGGTTGGAGTTGTGGTTGCGGCTTGGGGAAATCTGTCCCCGGGCCTCTAGTAAAGACGTGATCCTATCAGAGATCTAATGTTTGGATTAGGTTGGCTGGACTGTACCGCAAACAGTACTTCCGGCTCTGAGTAGCACTGGATATCTTCTCCAAATGACCATTTATATCTGAAGTCGGGCCGTCCGGCAGGCATTCGAAGACCCGGTTCTGATTTGTTCGTTTGATTTCTGGATCCACAAGCTTCTCAATGGCTAAGTGATTTGTGTGCGCTTTGCGTAAATCTGAAAGGCTCAGTGAAAAGCAGCAACGTACAATTGCTGGGTCCAAGTTCACGCTGTGTTCCAGAAGGTGTGGAGGTAGTGATCGACCCTCCCCACCGATAACTGACGGCGATGTGGTCTATTTGGATTCGCGGCTAGTTTATTGATTTCCGCTGTTCCGGACATAGAAGGTCTGTGATGGGCACACATTTGAAGCAGACGTTCTCCGCGCCTCGTGTCCAGCCCAAGACGACTACCCAATTGGACCTCAGCAGCGCTTAGTCTACTTACCTGGGTGTTCATGTCACTAGCAACCGCAACGCTTTTAGTCCGTTGTAAAAGAGCACCTAGATCGTCATAGAAACTAGCTTTGGGAGATCCAGAGCTACAATCCGTTGGAGCTTAAAGAGACAAAATAAACAGGTTGCGATTGACCTCACTTCCTCTAGATTCTCTCACGGACGGACCGCTCAGAGGCGGCTATCAACGGGTATCCAATCAAGCAGAGACGCTTCCGCTCGGTCGCTGAATACAAAACCCACCCGAGCATATCCAACTGCAGCGGCCTCTGCATCAACAGAATCGCGCAGCCGGGACCTGAAAGAGAGCGAGGGGGCAATCAGTTCGATCACACCACTTGCGTCTTGAGTCCCTTTTTCTGACAGACAACGTGCATCAATGCAGAGGGAATCCAGCGTACGAGCAATAGCCACCTGTTGACTAGCTTGCTTCAGTGTGTGAACATCAAAGGCGGCTAAGTAGGCAGGCTTTGGGGGTTTAAAAAACAGACTTGGGAGTGCTTAGGGTTGTTACTGAACTCGTACGCACAGAAGCTGCAGCAGCAAGTATGGCGACCCGGCTGATCGCATAATGCGACGGCCGATGTGGCATATGTGCATTGTTAGCTGTAAATGTCATGGTTGTACGTGGGCTGGGATACTGCCAGGGCGCCCTAACCTAGACAGGAGGACGATCAGGGTCCTCAACCAAAACCCTTGGATCAAAAACCTAATCGCAGGGCAGCGTTGTTTTCGCGGGTAATACAGAGCATTTCGCTTTTTACAGAACAAGTCCCCGCTTATGTTCTGACTTTCATCCTGGATGGACAGGAGACTGTTAGTCAAATGTCTAACGATTGGCTAATGTGGTATAGAAGCTGTGTGAGTATCCCACGGGCCCTACCCAGTGCAGCTCAATGATTTGTGGAGGTACACAAACCGCCACACCATGGTAAGGTCCAGTCTGTTGATGACTACCGCGTATGAAACATCCACCGTTTACGATGTCCGGATTAATACTGTTCGAGATATTCACCGATCATAATCATCTAAGATCTCATCCTCCGTTCAGAGGGACAAAATGTCGATACATGAAGAAACGCTTGAATGAAAAGTAGGACATTGATATGTATGTAACGTTCAACATAGTTTGGTCACGTGGTAGCTGTTAGCCCTCTAGTCACATGACCGATCCTAGGAAGTTATTCTGCCTGTAGGGCACTTTGTGAACTGGCCACATGGCCAACACATATTCGGTCCCTGGTAACGGTCGTAAGTTTGGATAACTGAAGAACTCACTGTGTCAGATATACAGAATTTTTTTTGTTTCCCCAGTAAACGTCATTCTTCGATGATCACACTATCAGTATGCGGTGTGATTTAATCTAGGTTTTGAAACAGGACCTAGAATGTAAGACAAACTTAAGGGTGGGACCGAATTGAATCGCGTTAACAATTAAGTGGGCAAACCGTGGTATTCGGATGCGTATTTGTTCCGATAAATTTTCCTAATTCTGCTTGCCTAGTGGGTGTTGGAAAACGATCATGCTGCATTGGTGGGAGTCAGACAAAACTCTGACTTTCCCCCACATCTTGGAACGTGTTTGGTAATGAGGAAATAGGTACGTGCAGCAAACGCCATTTCTGTGTAGGTTTGAGGGAACAAATAAGCAAACTAATAATTTTTCCTCCTGAGGTTGTGTGAACAAGATGAGGGGTCACAGGAACCACGTGACTATGAGGAAGAACAGGAGGAATGTGGCTATGTTTACAAAAACATTAGCTCCAATCGTTTTGATATGGTTGTAAATGTTTTGACATCGATTAACAACTAAAAGGTTAGAATAAATATACAACCACTATTACATAGGTCAACTATGTTTCCATCAAATAGCTTGGTTGACTGGTTCGCTGAAACTGTTTTGGTCCCAATTAAACTACCACGATGCTCTAACACAGCCAATAAATCACAAATTTATACGTGTTTGACCGCATCACGGAGGACCACATTGTGGGAGCATCGGAAGTTAACTATCAAATATTCCCGTGCGAACGGTCAACGCGATAAAAATGTCAATTGTTCGTGGTCAGTAAGACAGTTAGTTCACTAGCTTCAGTTCTGCGGAAACCGTTTGTTCATTGGATGCTGTAGGGTAACATCTTTTTGACAAGTTTCCTCCTTGTGTGGTTCATTCAGTCACATTCATTCTCTCAAAAGTAGGCTTTTGAGAATCTTCTTCTCCGTCTCGTGTTATAGTAAAATAAGCGTGGGGTTCAGGTATTGCACATTAAATGACGCGGTTTTGTAAAGGTTTTTGCCTCAACTACTGATTTCGCTCTGAGCTTGAGTGCTTGATTCGGTGATCATCAATGACAACAATACAAGATGAGAACCCTGGTGCCTATTGCTGTACACCAACGTCAGTTTATTTCAATAAGTCCTTATAATCCAAAGAAGATGGGGCATGGAGGGGACCTAGGGCTAGCCTACAACAAACATCCGCGGTGCTTACACTCCCAGCACAACCAAACAATCTGGAAAGAAACTGGCACCGTGGACGCCCTTGACCCCGGTTAGTCGCCATATCATTCAGTGTCTCCAGCCAAGCCCATCCTGGAGGGTGAACAACGCCAAAAGCACCCAAACATTTCGTAACATTTCTCTTTTGCCATGTAGGATTTCATCCACGTCTAGGTTTCTGCTACCCGAATGAGGCATGGAAAATAGCGCTCATCTTGACAGGTGGCATGCACATGGCTCACATATGGCTCCGCCACCTTAACCTACAGTGCTAGCTGTATTGTTTGAGTGAAGTACCATCTGCTTCACGAACAACCAGTCTCCTGATCGACTCATCACGAATCCGCTGATTCCAGTTATGCTTGAGACATCAGTGGTCAAAGGCCTGATAGTGCTCCACCTGAGGCGGCCAATTTTCTCTGGTCATCACAAATTCGTTCAGAACCCTTCATATTTTGTTCTCCGTGCTATCGGAATGTTTCAGAGATTACACACCATAGTATAACACCGCGAGTGCTATGCTAATCGTTCCAAAGTTCCGCACTGCGCTTATTAGTTCGTGTTGCATAACCATTGTCTCCTGGTCATTCTGTCTTCAGTTATCCCGAAATCCGTTGTCCGGTCGATTCACACCACAATACTCAACCCTACTGTACATCTCCTTGGAGAAGATGCAGCCTGTATCGCCTACGTTCGCCTCACGCAGTTCTTGGATAAGTGAGTATGATGCTTCTCCCAGTAGTTTCAATGGGACTCTTGCTTGTTTCGACCTCAATAAATCCTCGAACTGTTGTGTTTAGGGTTTATGTTCCTGTAGATGAGATCCAGGAAAGGCATTCACTTACAGAGAATAGTTTGTTTAATTAAGCATCTCCCCCCTGTGCGCTACTTCCGTTGGGTTTCTTAGTTTTGTTTGTCCGCATCAAAATGGTGGACCCCTCACTAGATATCCACTCCCTGGTTCACTCTAGGCTCTTGCGTGCTTTTCATCTTGCGTTTTTTCTACTGAAACAATCCCCATAAAACCATACAAAATTCGCGAGGTCCCAGAAAATAGGCGATTCACCCGTTAGTGAAGAATGGGTGACGCACTTTCTCATCAACCCTGATTTGCCAGCATCTGTCCCCTCACTCTGTTCCTGTCATTGTCGCGATACCAACCCGCGACACGATCGAGCACTCAAATTTCGTTTGATTAGGACTTGATGCATTTGCGCTACGTGGTGAAGATCATTATAAACTTTGGTTCGTGAAAAACCGCCGTTTTTAGGCCACAACGGGATTTGTTAAAGTAGGATGTACATTCCTTAAACCATTACTTTTTGGTGGTGCTAGTTCAAGTCTGGGTAACACCCATCCCTAGCTATCCAGCTCAATGAGTTGATATTGGGACGACTGTGCGTCCATTTTTGCCCGTTCTTTTTGTCTTCAGGCGCTGAAAGAAAGTAGTATCAATACACTGACTGCATATAAACACTATGACGTCTAACTTGAAAATGTCGTGTAGAATTTATGTACTGTCGTACCATTGTTGGACAGAGAGTTTCGGGCTGTTAGGAACATTGCAACCATTTTTGACTAGCTTTAAGCACTAATTGGCAGCCTTGTTTCAAACTTGTCACTACTGAAATCTTCCAGCCGAAATTCACCCAGTTGTTGATACATTTCCTCGAGGGTTCTTGTAATGGTGAACGTTCGCTTAATGTGAATAGGATGAATTCAATGGTAAAAACCTTTTGAAAGTATCTGAAACCAGTCGGTGACCGGTCGATTGCAGTCACTCTCACCTCAAACCAGTCAGTGACCTGACTTTTTAAGGCATTGATGCTCAGGGGCCTTGCTCCGTCGCAAACGAGTATTCGTAGCGATGGCAGAGTAGTGATATGCAATTCGAAGTAGGCGATGATAACTATAATCAGTCGGATATGACTGAACAGTATAGTGTATTGCCTTGTACGCATTCTATCGAATCGTCCAGCTGTAGCACCCTTTCGGTGCCTAGCTGCCATGCCACACGAAAGACACGAGGGCTGGGGTACTGCGAGGTTGCTCAAGCCTAGACAAGGGAAGTCGAGAGGCAGAAGTCCGGTTCGAACCACGGACCTTCCGGTCAGTAAATTCGCGTTCTAACCACTTGGTCCATCTCGCATCCTATGGCGTAAAGTCATGCGGCCGCTATCCAGTTTTGAGCTTGATAACGGAAACACTGACATGACAAAATTAGAAATGCTATTTTAGATGGTTGGAAGTACTGATAGAACCCATTAGATCGAAAAGCTTTTCGAATAAAGCTTTGTTTTTGCACTTATTATCTGGTCAATGCATAACGAATCCATAGGAAAATATGTAGCAGTCATCGTGTTCTTTCTATGGTTCCTTGAGCGGATTGGAGTTTCAGTAGGTTCATTCAGGAAAGAAAGATTGCATCCTTGTGCTTTGTGACTGTGTAGCGGAGCTTGTCGCTGGCCAACACAAGTTCAAAAGTGGTATTGGCTTTTTTGTAAACCAAATTTTAACGCCCTCAGCTGTTGATAATAACCTGAATCTGACTGTACTGGACCGATTTGAAGCTGATCGGCAGGTAACACAGAAGACTTCTTTCTCTGCAGTGTGCTTGTGCGTATATTCATTGTGCCACACCTCACTCAATGCGTTCCTGTGTTCCGTCTGAAAGTCGTCGTACGACCAATATAATTCAGCATTCGACACACGCATATAAAAATGTGTACAGGCGGAAGCGGGTGGCAGGATTCGTCATCTTGTCTTTCAGTTGGAACCTAATGGAGAGGACGGAGCTGAAACTCAAATTAATGGGAGAGATCAATGACACTTCGACCCACTGTCAATAACAGTATGAATCAAGTCTCCTTTAAATGCGATGCGGATGTATGCTTGTTTCTTTCCTTCAGAATGTTTTGCGAGTTTTACTTTAATAGATTAGTTTTGAATATTCACTCACAACGACTACTTGTTCCAGGAATCTCATNAGAGACAGGACAATATATTCCTTATGACCGTCTCCCTTGGACATCTTTCAGTTCTGTTAATTAAAAAAAAACTGTCGAAACGAATATATTGTCCTGTCTCTGTTCGCTTCCTTTATACTTTGCACTGAGCACATTCGTTCCCTTACATCCGTCAACTTCGAGGAAATGCAGTCAGCCGTTGTATTCAGGTCCCGGGGGTAAACAATATCGGGACGGTCCGAGTTGGTAAACTCAAAAAGTCGGCAAAATTTTTCCTATCCTCCACACCAACAACCTATCGTCTGTGTGGCGACAATAGAGTGTGATTTGTGAATGACCGGGTTTCGAGCTTGCTCTTGAGGAACTCTGAAAGATGCCGATCCAGCACACAATCCATTGGAACACCAGTCTTCTATCGGTTAGGTTGTTGAGACTGAGTTGGATGCTGTAGTTTCCACATTATCGCTGCCACGTTGGAGTCGCGATATATTAGTGAACAGTACAACTAAGCAAAGGCATATGTTAATCACCCATTTTCAGCTGCACCCGCTAAATTACTGATAACTGTTGAGGAATACACTCATTTGCAAACCAATTTGGTTTTCACGACAGACTCAACTGAATCTCTCGTTTATGATATTCTACAACTGAATGTGCTGCACACAGGCCGCCTCATGTTTGAGTTGGCACAATATTCGAGATATCGCATTATATTTTCATGGAGGAAACTATTCACACGTTTGCTGAGAACTCTTCGACAGCCCACGACCGCTTTCGCCCTTCTTGGGGCTCATCAAGTGGGCGCAGTCCCCGAGTTTCCGTCA